CTCTGGCGTGGGCTGGTCCATGAGGTCACGAAGAGTCGGAGACGACTGAACGAATGAACAACAACAAGGTATCATTGAAAATGACACAGGATTAAAAACAAGTGACATAATCCTATTATGAAAAGCTCAATAAATCTAGCAGCCCCTTTCAAGCCGCCAGAGCTTTGGCAAGCAAGAGGCACTGGTCACTTTTAAGAGGTACTGCTGTGTTACAAAGTAGTGTATTATTCATATCTGGTAAGTGGCAGTCTGTTTACTAGGCTTATAATTCATAGTTTGCTTATTCCAAAATTACCTAGCTTCTACTCTTACTTGGGTCCAAAAGGTATATATAGCTCCAAGAAGACACTCATAGGTGTGGTGGATTCTGTGCTTTATACAAATGGTTTCAGCTATGTAACGATGCCAGCTTGCTTTGGACCATCTCTTAATTAAAACGGCCTTGGAGGGTTTTTGTTAGGCTAGTTTAACTAAATCCAATGAGCCTGCCAACTGAAAATGTATTTTAGTTTTGTGCTGCAAAAAGCTATACCTGAGAAACGTTGAGGGACCAACAATTATAATGAATACTTTAAAATTTGAAAAAATATGTTATTTAAAATAATCTCTAATGATATTAATTGAAGCATATGTTTAATCTTTACATTTATGATAGATTTAAGCCATGATTTTCAAAATGACCTGTTTTTTGCGGGAACAGTTCTCAAAATGACAATTATGGGGACAAAGTAGTTTCTATTTCAATTGCAAGAAACCCTGTGGAATCTTATTCCCTGTCTGTGTGATTCCATTCCATGGATGCACATTGCCGAGTCTGAGAGCAAAAGATTTGACCTTTTTATGAAGAGACTCAGCTCTGGAAATAGCTGATGAACAAAAAACAAATCCTTCTCTTTCCAATGTTAATCCTGTGAGCATTACACAGATGTGGAAAATATATGTGGCGAGGTGGGAACATGCTAATCAGATTAACATATGTTTTAGGACTTGAATGTGAAAATAAGGAATACTGTATTGCATCACATCAATGTTCCATTGATTGGAAAAATTTCACCTCAATGTGCTCACTGGATTACTGCCAGGAGCAGATGCATCCAATCTGCTGTGGGCAAGTCTGCATGAGAACAAAATTTGTTGGATAGTTGCCCGTTGAGACTGTGTGCCCTGTGCCTATTTTGTCTGCTGTGTGCTGAATGATGTTCCTATTCCCTGATTCTGCTCCCAAGTAAGGATAGTTTGCATGTACATTTTGCGTGCAGTTCTCCTATGCAGCATATTTCTTTCATCCCTGTATGTATTGCTTGTGTCATTCAAAGATTCATGTATTGATGATGATGATATCTTTATTTATAACCCGACCTCTCTCCCCAAGGGACTCAGGGCAGCTTCCATAAACAAAACAGCAAACATTCAGAAGGAAAGGGTCTTCAAAAAGAGCGGCACTTTGGAAGAACTAAAAATAAGAAGGGGGAGGGTAGATCCAGGTTCAGTATCCATCACCCGAAATGCCAGATGTGTTACATATTTTGATTTTGGAGTATTTGCATATACATAATGAGAAGAAATTAAAAATGGACAGGACAACGATGTTTAAATCTTTGAAAAGCGGTCGTATTGAGAGAGCAAGCTTGTTTTCTGCTGCTCTAAAGACAAGGATGCAGAGCAGAGGATTCAAACTGCAGAGAGTTTCCACCTAAATATTAGGAATAATTTATACTACTACTACTGCTAATTATTATTATTATTATTATTATTACTACTATTATTATTATCATTATCATTATCATTATAGACCACCATATCTCCCCGAAGGGACTCAGGGTGGTTTCTAACAAATATGGCAAACTTTCAATGCCAAAAAAGACCATATGAACAGTTTACATCAGGACAAGGCAATTAGATAATATAGAACAACATAACTGTAACTTAGCAATCAAAATAGCGAAAATTAAAAATAAAACATAATAACATACAACCCCCCCTGATAAAACAGACTAAAATAATATATACATAATTTCTTGATAGTAAGAGCTGTTTGGGAATGGAATATGGTGCAATGGAGTGGTGGAGTCTCCTTTTCTGTGGGATTTAAACAGCGGTTGGATGTGGGATTTAAACAGCGGCAATGTGGGATGTGGGATTTAAACAGCGGCAAGAGTACTTTGTGTCTTTCTGCATGGCAGGAGATTGGATTGGGTGGCCCTTGAGGTCTCTTTAAGCTATATGATCCTATCTTGGTGATGTGATCCAAATCTATATGTAATTGTAATGTACTTTTCATTTACTTTATACACATACCTAGAATTTTATAAACATCGTTTTCCCTAAAACAAAGGTTATATGCATTAAACCATCAGAAAGCAAAGGCATCAGTATCTCCATTACCCATGTATTTTGGAGGACTTCAGTTTTCAGAATTCCAGAGAAGGGATTCTCAATATGCACTTTCTCCAAGTTTGATAAGAAAGATCTGGGACCTTTCAAGCTTCAGGATGTACTGGCCTCACACATAGAAATGCCCACAAGCCAAAGTAAAGCAGATGTAGGGGAAGAGTGTGTGTCCCCCAGCAAATGTAATGGCGCTAGTGCCACACTCTGAAAGGGTGATGATAAGGAGAATATAACCAATGATTAAAATATTATTTTATATGCATTGTAGCTTATGAAGAATGGTGAAAGGCCCTAACCAGTTCTGCCATTTGAAGAAAAGGGCAAAACCCCTCCACAAACAGAAACTAGACTAGTAATTCAATTTTACTTGTGCCCTAGAGGAGGACACTGTCCATCATTGTAAGTGAGTGGAACAGATGTGTGTAGCAGAAGGCTGAATTGCACACAGAGCTCCACCTTCCAAAACCTTGGTGCTGCTCTTGACCACCTCCCAGTCCATGCCACCTGAAGCACAGCTTAGTTCTGCCCAAGCCCAGCTTACTTCAGTTCTAAGAATGAATAAAAATGTATGTTCTGAGATAACACCTATGTTATTAGGGGAAATCTCTATCTAGAGATCAAATATATGCCTTCTCTCAAATGAATCGTCTCCTTTGAACATTGAAATCTATCTTTCAGAATATATGATCAATCCAGAAATTGCGACCTTTCCTCTGAAACCTGTGGTCCATTTCCCACTCTCTTCCTCCCTTTTTTCCTCAACAGATTAAGTAATTGGCCCAGTTTGCCAAAGAGATTTTCCTTCATTGCAGCCATGAGTCTGGAACCTCCCAAACCAGAAATCAAATCAGCCACTAGGGTGACCGGAGGGCCCGTCACCCCTAGGAAAGGACCTTCCAAATTCAAGCAGAGGCAAACTCGGCAGTTCAAGAGCAAGCCACCAAAGAAGGGCATCCAAGGGTGAGAGATGAAGTGTTGCTTACAAGAAGAGTGTTGATCCCACCTTCCCCAGGAAACAGTTATAGGCCTCTAATGTACCACTGTTGCGTCCAACATCCCTACCAGTCCAGCAGCTTCTTTCATTGCAACATTTCCATTATTGAGTGCTTTATACAAAGACCAGCTTTATAGGATCTACAAGGGTCCTTCCAATGATTTTCCCCTTGGATATCAGAAAAGTTGGGGCTGTGTGCTTATTGGTCTTGCCATTGAACCCCATAACTGCCCTCTTTCCTCTACATTTGGGGTCTGAAGATAGGAAGCAGAAACAAATTTTGATAAACAAATGGGAAGTGAAGCACTGGGGTGGTGCAGTTACTGTTTTAGTTCAACTTCTAAAGAAGCTATTCCTATATATGAAAGTACAATTTCCGAACTCCCAATTTGGTAAGGATGGTGGCATCTCTTAAATGGCTCCTTCCTACTAGCTTCTTTCTGGGTGGAAAGGTGATGATGAATATTATCATCCCTTACTTACTTATTTACTTACTTATGTGATCCCTTGTTGTCTGAGTATGATGGCCTTCCAAGGGTCTTGGCAGAGGATACGTAGGTGACTGTAAAGCCCTTTTCTTGACCCACATGTTCTTCCACAGTGAGGATATCAGTTTCCAGGAAGAAAAAGGGTTGGCTTGACGTGCCTTCCTCTTTGCACATTTCACACTCCATTCGCTCCTCTTCAAATTCCACAGCACTGCTGGTCACATCATCCCACCCCCCAGCCAAAAAATTGGAACTCATGATGTCTTACAATTTAAAACAAGCACAATACAAATAAAAGCAAACATTGCAATAGAATTTAACAATTCACAGCAATAAAAGAAATTAAACAGATAAAAGTAGATAAAATCAATTCAATTTAAAACAATGCAGCATCCTCTTATATGCTTATTTTTATAAAAAAAATTAATATGATTTGATGGGAAATTCTTCGATTGATCTTGCCTCATATGAAATCTAAACAAGGTAAGTATTCATTTCTATATTTGCATGTTGTGATCTACATTATGCAGGTCTATTTCCTCCAATACTAAGCTCTGAATGTTTGGATCCAGTGGATCCAACGTTATTGAATCCACTGTAAGCTGGTTCTCACAACAAAGCTCGGGAGTGAGTCTGCCATGCGAAGCAGCTGTCTGTGGGGAGTGCTTATTCACGAACCAGTCTGTGGGCAGGGATGGGAAGGCTCCTTCCTGCTGCTTCCAACAGATTTCCTGGCTGAGAAAAAAGTTCCTTTACACTCAGCAGCTTGGATCCCTTCCCAGGAATGAACCTACTACATGCTTGCAATCTCAAGAACATTTTTTTTTCTGAGAAAAAAGTGTGATTTTTCAAATAGGGTACTGATTTTTTTTAGGTCCAAACTGAGAAAGAGAACATTAGTAAGCAACACTGTATTCCAGATTATCTTTGTAGAAATACCCTGAGAACCCAGAGGGCAAGAATTATTTAGGTAGTGAAGGTGGAGGTGATTCAGCAGAAGAAAAGCGGTTACTGGTTCCCAAGCTGATCAGGAGGTGGCAGAGCAGCTTTTCCTATTGCCCACCAATACTAATGTGGTCCCAAAATCTACCTTTGTGGCCAACAAAATCTGAATTCCCATTTTTCTCCTTGGAACAGGCAAAAACAGGAAAACCAACTGTACTTTCTGAGGCAGATTGGATGAAAATGGTGCACTAAGACTAGTATAGGGGCACCCTAGTGGTGCAGCAGATTAAAACATTGAGCTGCTGAATTTGCTGACAGAAAGGTTGGCGGTTCGAATCCGTGGAATGGGGTGAGCTCCCACTATTAGACCCAGCTTCTGCCAACCTAGCAGTTCAAAAACATGCAAATGTGAGTACATCAATAAGTACCACTTCTGCGGGAAGGTAACAGTGCTCCATGCAGTCATGCTGGCCACATGACCTTGGAGGTGAGCACCACCCCCCAGAGTGAGACACAACTAGACTTAATGTCAGGGGAAACCTTTACCTTTACTTTAAGACCTATATTGGCATTTTTAAAGGCCAATGATCTGACACAATGTACAGAAAGTTCTTAAGGGTCTTCCTGAACTGTACTCTAATACTCACCTTTTATAAGCTGACACTGCAGCAAGTAGAAATTAGCATGGATGGTGTCTGAGGGCACATTAGACAGCTTTCGATGAGGTTATAATAGCACAAAAGCATTGGTGATTCTTACCATTTAATTTGTTTCTTCACCATACATGTAATAACATTAACTTGTATCATCAGTAGTTGTATTGAGATATAGCAAGTACTTGAACCACTAATACAGAGCTCCGTCACAGGCTTTATTTCTCCTTTTTGATGATCCCAAGGCAAGAGATGAAAAGCATAGTAGCTTAGTAGAGCAACTACTCTCACTCTTTCTCCCTCCTCCTGCAGATTTGGTGATGACATTCCTGGCATGGAAGGCTTGGGAACAGGTATGACAGAACACATTTTCCTTTCTTTATTAAGATAGTTGTATGGCACACTACACCCAGGGATTTCAATAAGAAACATATAAAAGAATAAAAGGATATTAAATCAATTTTAATGATATTTTTTTAAAATAATTTAAACCACAATACATACACATTTGGCGAAAACGAATTAATCCCTGCAGGTTCAATAAAAAGCCATATTTTGACTATTATCATATATCAATCTAGTTAGTACAGTACGACTCCCATATCCATTTGCAATACCTTCTTGGACTGTCCACAGATACACAAAACAATGGAGGATAGTGAACTCGATGTCATAGAATCATAGTGGAAGACTACAGGGAACATGTTTTGTTGGGTAAATGAAACCGCAGATACAAGGCTTGAACTGTATATGGATTTATCCCAATAATTTAAAATCTGTCATATAAAGCATTAGCAAGAGCAGATTCCTTGCAACTTACCCCGCTCAGCTGCCGGAACCTGATCCCCTTCCAGATACTCCAGCCTCCTATCCAAATGTTGAGTGTTTTGATAGTGGGCATACTGTGTATCTGCTCTCAGGATACATATTTCCTAGGAAACATCTAAATAAACAGGAAACCCTTGTTCTCCTTTAAACACTCTGGATAGAATAGTTAAGGGCCCTTCCACAAAGCCCTATATTCCACAATATCAAGGCAGAAAAACCCACATTATCTGAGTGTGGATTCGGATAACCCAGTTCAAAGCAGATAATGTAGGATTTTCTGCCTTGATATTATGGGATATAGGGCTGTGTGGAAGAGTCCTAAGGTTCACTGACTTATTTTACCTATATCTGCGGTATTGCTGGCAAGCAAGCTTGCCAGGTGTTAGAAAGTGTATAAAATTTATGTGATAACCTATGGAGGTGCCACACACAGGCATCCTACAGCCCCACATGCAGTACTGGATAAAATAGGCATCAGGGCAGAATCTAAAGCATGGCATGTTTGCACTATATAGCTACACACATTTTGGAGCCCCTGGTAGCACAGTGGGTTAAACCCTTGTGCTGGCAGGACTGAGGACCAACAGGTCGCAGGTTTGAATCCGGGGAGAGCGTGGATGAGCTCCCTCTGTCAACTCCAGCTCCCCATGTAGGAAAATGAGAGAAGCCTCCCACAAAGATGGTAAAACATCAAGAACATCCGGGCATCCCCTGGGCAATGTCCTTGCACATGACCAATTCTCTCACACCAGAAGCGACTTGCAGTTTTTCAAGTTGCTCCTGACATGAAAAAAAACCCAACTATATAGCTTAAGTATTTGCACAAAGAAAACATTAGGCTAAATTTAAAGAACATCCAGGCTGCCCTTTCTTCCTAGTTGGTTGACAGCCCTCAATCCATGTAAATACAAAAGAGAATATTTGTTCTCCAGCTCCTTGAGTGACATGGAAATAGCTGACCTTTCACCTCAGCTTGTCTCCTTCCCAAATGGCCTTGTTTGATTAGATGTGGGCTGTTTCTTGGCCTCCTACCCTCTTGTATAGCCATGTCAAACTACCAGTCTGTCCACAGGAGCATACACTGCTTGGCAAGCTCTCTCACTAACATACGGTATCTCAAATGGTTACTCAGAATCAGTTCTATTTATGGTTACGATACCCTGTAATTGCTCCAATTACCAATTGTCATAACAGGTCTGGGGCGGATTCCAGTGCAGCAGTCTGATGACTTTTGGCAATACGGGTTGCTTTGATGCTTCTCTCTTTCAGATATCACTGTGATCTGTCCATGGGAAGCCTTCAGTCACCTGGAGCTCCATGAGCTGGCACAATATGGGATCATCTAATCACAACGAGGCCAGAAAAGGAGGCTGCCAGACAGTGGCTTCTACAGCCCTGCAAATTACCTCTCCCAATAGGAATAAGTTCAACTCCAAGAAATGGATAAAACTAAAAAGAATCCAAATGAATAAGCAGTAGGTTTGATTTTACACTACTTTTCCTGTAATTAAAACCCTTCCTCAGCTTTCAGTAAAAAGGGTTTGAAAAAACATATATGAGACTGAGAAATTGTCTTTTTGTATATATGGTTCCATCAGTTTGCTGCAACTATCTTTTCCTCCCTATGACCTGTAAAACAAAACTTATAAAGAACTGTGGGGTTTCAAACGCTATTCTAAAATTCCTTATCAAGAAAAATAAATAGGAGGGGAAAGAGTGAAGGTTAGGGGACTGCAATAGAAATAAGGAGACTTTAGATTCAGAGGATGATAGTGTAGGAATGAAGAAGTCGCAGCAGAACTTGAAATAATGCTATTTTCATTCCAATACAAATTGTGGTCCAAGTAATTTGCTTCAAAACAGCCAGTTCTGGGAGGTGTCAGAAGGAAATGCAGCCCTTTAGTAGACTGAAATACAGGGCAACAGTTTTTTTTATTCCCAACAAGATGCAGGCACTTTTACTACATAGCAACAAATGTCATATCAGCTGAACACTATTGGTTGAGTAGCCAGCATATAAATCTGGAAAGGATCAGGAAACAGAAGCCATTGCAAAAAACTATCATTGGATTAAGGAGAAGTGCATATGGGAGCAAATCACCCCTTAAAGCCAAGTGTCAGCAAAGTAGTTGTCATCTGCAAATGGTTCAGCTTATAATGGTAAAAGAGTAACACATTTGAAATAATAATAATAATAATAATAATAATAATAATAATTTAAAATTATTATCTGTCAGCTGCAAAAGGCCACCCTACTAGGATCTGCACACATTATTCACCGATACATCACATAGTCCTAGACACTTGGGAAGTGTCTGACATGTGATCCAAAACAACAACCAGCATAGTGATCTGGTTTGCTGTGTACTAATCTTGTTATGTTTCAAATAATAATAATTCATAACAATTACAATGTTATTGTTGTTAGAATTTAATGAAGCATGTGATGAGAAAAGGAAAGTACACCACGAGAAAGCAAGTGAGCAAAATACTGGTATGTCTGCACTGTAAATGTTTACATGCAAGTACAAGTAAAAAAGTCTACTTCAGCATGCCAATATAAAGCCTAGTAAAAGGCATTTGCAATTATCACTGTAATAGATTGGTTAGTATCACACACCAAAAGGCAAGCAGGGATGTAAAGCAGTACTGTTCCCTTAGCAGTGGTTCTCAACCTGTGGGTCCCCAGGTGTTTTGGCCTACAGCTCCCAGAAATCCCAGCGAGTTTACAAGCTGTTAGGATTTCTGGGAGTTAAAGGCCAAAACATCTGGAGACCCACAGGTTGAGTACCACTGCTTATGGGAATGATTTCATGACTTTTTTTTTTTTACTATTGGGGTATTGGGAAGGTGTAGAATAGAAGGCAGTTGAGAGATACTTGATTTGTCCCCCCCCCCCCACTTTTTTAAAAGGTTGGAATTTGTTCGTCTGTCCATTTCTAAAACTGGCATTCAAAAAAATGATGGAAAATTAATTTGTAGGGAAGCTGCTTGGTTATAAAAGATTCTCCAGCAATGAAGGCCAGGTCATGAGATTCTGTACTACAAAACCTTTCCAATCCCTAAGGGGTAGTGTACAGAATGAAAATGTAACATTGATGAAAGAGAAAATAGCTGGAAGGAAGGAACAGAATTAATTCTAGCCAGAGACAATAAAGGCAAAAGCAAGAAAAATTCAGTCCTTCATATCCTGCTCTGGGAAATTAATAAGTATAAGGTAATAGGGCTTCTGCAGTATTCTAGATTTGCTATGCTCAAAGGATCAGGAATAAAATCCCCTTTGTCCCTGGTAAGAAGAAGAGGGCCAAAATGTTCCCTCCCCCCTACTGTCATCCTGAGCTGTAGCAAAGGCAATGCCTGCTAGGAGCTTAGTGGCCAGTAATAAGCTTCCTACTTCAATCAGAATCAGAAACACAAAATAAGAGGCAATTGCTCCTGCATGATTATTAAGCCATCTGCTCAGCTGGGGAACGCAGCCTCCAAGATAGATGGTGCTTTGAGCCACAAACTCCTCCAGGGCCAGAGCACCAAAGCCACACTGGGAATTTGGGATGGTGCCATTCTCCCGTGGATCCAGGCAGCAGGAAGCTGGGACACCGCAGGCTTGCACACCTGGGGAACTGCAGTTAAAATACCTGAAAATTAACAAATCAGAACAATCAGTTCACTTGTCTGGGCAACCTGGAGTCTCATTGCTAAGGTTCTTGCAGCATCCACTTGCTTCTTGGTACATGCATATATAGAGAGAAGATGGTATCTAAACTAGTAATGCTACTTTGTGCAAGCATCTCCTGCCTTGATAGTGATCTCTGCATGCAAAAAGAAAAGCTACCATCCAGGATCTGGAGCTGCAAGCACAACGTACAGAGCTGACATTTAAAATCTGAAAGGTCCCACCTTTTCCACCACAGATCTAATGGACAGACAACAACAAAGGTGTTTGAAACGACTTAGGTCCATAGAAACTATTGCACTTGGGAACTGTGGGTTATCAGGTGCAAATTTCAACCTCAGTCTGAAGAAAGGACGTAAGCAGCTGGATCAGCCAAGAGAGTTTCCTTCCAAAATGCCCCAGAGCAATTCATGTGGTGCTTCCAAACTCAATGGTTCAAGCAACAAAGGAACAATACTCCTGGTGTTGAGTAACCACTGCCTTGTTCCCAGGTGGACAAAACCCAGATTTGATGGCACCAGATGGTTCACGATATACAGGAGTGAATTGAATTCTGTTTCTTAGAGCCTGGAAGGCAGCCACCCATCACTAGTTGCTTGTGGTGGTGGCTGGAGATAATGGGGGCATAATGAAGTTACGCCTCAAAAGTAACATAGGAAGAAGAAACTTGTTTCATTGGTATAAAGAGTACCAATTTTTGGTTAGGTTCTTGTGGGGTTTTTCGGGCTATAGAGCCATGTTCTAGAGGCATTTCTCCTGACGTTTCGCCTGCATCTATGGCAAGCATCCTCAGAGGTAGTGAAGTCTTCACTACCTCTGAGGATGCTTGCCATAGATGCAGGTGAAACGTCAGGCGAAATGCCTCTAGAACATGGCTCTATAGCCCGAAAAAACCCACAAGAACCTAGTGATTCCAGCCATGAAAGCCTTCGACAATACAAATTTTGGGTTACTTTCACATGTTTGCAAACACCTCAAGATTTCCTATTTTACGTTTCCTTGTTTTCAGAAAAGTAACAATAGTAATATGGAGTGCAAGTAATTTTTTCAACCCTGTAACAAATAGCAGCAACACATTAGTTTTCAAATACTACAAAGAATAATGGTAACTAATAACTTTTATGAAGCAATTTCTCACATTGTGCTCTTCTACTGCTGCAGCATATGCAGACTGATTGGGCCAGTTACCTTTTCAGTGAGTATGCTTATGCTAAAACTGGTTATTCATGAGAATAAATGAGAATAAACAAAGCAAGTTAGAAATCCTGTGAATATACTGTTATGGACAGCCAGTGTAATGCAGTGGTTTGAATATAGGACTGCAACTTTAGAGTTCAGCATTCAATTCCCCGCTTGGCCATGGAAACCCAATGGAGGGCTTGGAGAAGTCACACTTTGTCAGCCTCAGAGAAAGGCAGAAAAAGCCCCTCTGAACATATTTTGCTAAGAAAACTTCCTAATAGATTTGTCTTAGGGTCACCATAAGTCAGAAAGGACTTGAAGGCACACAACAACATTGTTTTCTGAAGAACACAGATCTAGATTAGAAGAGCACACATCATGCAAAATATTTTCCTTTGAGCTGGAGCTAACTTGCACACTTCGGTGCTAATCTAGAGAAAATTGCTTATGCTTAAAATTATTAACAGCTAATTTGCTCTATTAATATCACAGTAATTAGCCATTTTTAGATTGGGGCATTTTTTCAGTAAAATGCTAATTTGAAATAAAAATCAGTTAGGCTTTAATGAGACCAAAATGATAGCAAGTAAAAGACTAACATGGATTTATAGTGCTAGGAGAAGCCCAAAGAAATATGAGACTATACCAATGATTGTAGATAGGCATTTGTCTCACCACAGTAGGCATTTGGCCTTTTTCAGATCAACTGCAGGCATCACTGTGAGAGAAACATTTTAAGAGTTTCCAACATCACTTTTTGGGGCAAAGTTCTGAGACATGTCATGCCCTCCCAGATTAAGGGATTTCAGGATTAAATTGAATATTTAGATCCATTTCAATCTGATTTGGGCCGAGACAGACTGGTTTCTTTGTGCCTTCACGGTGAACTGGATAAGGGGAGTGTGTCCTTATTGGTTCTGCTGGATGCCCCAAATGCTTTTGAAAGCACCGATCACAGTATCTTTCTGAGTCAACTGTCTGGAATGGAACTGGAGGGCACTGTTTCACAATGGTCCCAATCCTTTTTGGAGAGGAGAAATCAAAAGGTGATGCTGATGAACTCCTATTCTACACCTGGCCATTGACCTGTGGGCAACCTCAAGACTGTTTTTTTTCCTTCCATCCCTCACCACTGGGAGAGGTTATTTATGATTCTGGAGTTCAGTATCACTAGTATGCAGGCCCGTAGCCAGGATTTCGATTCGGGGGGGGGGGGGGGAGTTTCGGGGGGGGGGCTGAGTCTGAGTGAAAGAGGGTCTAGCTTAGCAAACCTTTTGTATCATTACCCCAATACCCCCATGCATATGGGATATATTGAGTATGGTGATCAGATCATGATATGAATAAACATAACAGTTTAAATAATGCACCAGTAAGGCCTTTTCGCGAACAACCATGAGAATTTCGGGGGGGGGAGGCTGAAGCCCCTCAAGCCCCCCCCCCCCCCCCCCCCCCCCCCCCCCCCCCCCTCCCCCCCAACCCCCCCCCACCCCCCCCCCCCCCCCCCCCCCCCGGCTACATGCCTGCTAGTATGATACTGTCTTTCTCTTTAAGGATGGTGTTTCTGTATTAAACCAGAGTCTGTTAAGAGTAATGGATTGGATGAGGGCAGACAAACTGAAGCTTAATTCAGACAACACAGAAATGCCCTTAGCTTGTTGAATGGGAAAGTGTCTCAGTATGTGTTGGATGGAGAAATCTCAAGTTAGCAGTTCTTGGATCATGACTGGAACCTGGATGACAAAGTTTCAGAGGAAACTGCAGAGTCTTTGAACACACATTGCTGCCAACAGCAACAAAACAACAGATTGGTGGAAATAAATATGAGGTGAAGAGGCTCTGAGGTAGCAGTCTTTCTCTGTCTGCCATTTTTTCTTTGCAAGTCAACACACAGCTGCTTTCCTCCCAAACAATCTCAGAGACAGAAAATCAGCCTATATGAAGGGCAAGCAGCCTAATCTATGTTTGGGGGGCGAGACGAAAGGAAGGGAAAGACAGACATAGACAAAGGACCTGAAAGATGAAATGAAACTACAGAGCCTTCTGCTGCTTGCTCCTTCTCTGCTGGAAGCCTTGTCTTTCCTGCCTTCCAGCTGCTTACTGGTGACCTACGTTTGGAGACACAAACCTTCTGCCATCCTTTGCAGTATTTACAGGATTACAGCTGCACAGTTCAATCCTGATTATGGTTGCTTATAAGCTTTACTGTTAAGTATATATAGGTTTGCTTCTATAATCGTCCATCTATATGGAATAATCATTCATCTGATTAAATATTATTCAGCCTGGCAGCACATTCACATTGAATCTGTAATACAAATGAACATGGCCTAGTTTTAGAAAACCGGGCAAAAAGCTCTTCTGAGATTAAGGGCCCATGAAGTAGAATGAAGAATTGGGCTGAACAGTCTCAAAACTGGCAAGAGCTTGATGTCAGCATCACAAAGTTTGAAACAACTTAATCCCAGAAATTGTTACCATAACAGTCCTGTAGTAGTAGTGCTCCGTCCCCATCCATCATAACTATTGAAAGAACAGAGCAAGAGGTGCACCCCAAAGAAGTATCTACTCACAGATTTGTTTTCCAGTCTAGGTAAGACTCGACTCCACAGCACTGTAAGCCTGTCTGAATTTCATCCATAATGAACTGTAGATCTAGATCATCCTGATACCGCTGCACTGCCACCATGAGGGAATTTTGCAAGGAGGCCTTGATTTGGTTTCTCAGTGAAAAAAGAATAATTCCACCAACAGTTTCCAGGACTACAAAGGTGATGATGCCTGCAGAGAAACATTTCAGGAGGCAGGTGTTCTCGATGAGGGCTCCTGTACAACCCAACAGAGACATAGCGCTGGCTGCCAGGCCCGCTAATACAAAAAAGAGCATTGGGTCACTGCCCAAATGAGTTATCTGTTCATTGGCCAATGATTCCTTGTCTGAAAGACCCCAGATTCCTATAGCCAAAATGACCAACCCCACAATGGAGAAAGCCAGGTTCCAAACAAGGGTCAGGTATTTAACACAGCGGCTAAGTGAGTCCAGGTGATGATGGGAAGACTGTCCAAAACACCACTGTCCTTTCTCTTTCCTGTGACAGCCAGTTTCTTCTCTTGTGGGATATAAAGGAGAGCCTTGTACATTTGGATTGCCTGTCTGGTTAACAAAGGAGAGAACCAGAAAAGAGAGAAGGAGAGAAAATAATGAAAATGGAGCAATATCCTGATGTATTACTTAAAACCTCATGAAGATAGGGGCAGAGCAACAGAAAAGGGCAGAGCAGAGTAATTTTTGAGCAGAAATATTCTTACAACACAGCTGGATTAACATAAAACCTGTCGAGATTAATTCCACTGTGACTCTAACATAAATAAAATGGATGCAGATGCATCAAGAGAGTGTGCGCCTAGAGTGCTGATATATGCAATAATCAATGAGAAGGAAAGCTTTCTATGTTTTAGCTCAAAACTAGAAAACGAAAGGCAGAAGCTATCTTCAGCCTTGGTAGCTTAGAAATACAGATCCAAAATGTAGATCCAGTTTTGTAACTTCAACTGGCTTGGTGAGAGAAAAATGGTAAAGGAATGCACTGAGATACTTCTTTTAAAAATCTGGACCTTATCTTGTAATGATAGTGCAATCCCACTGAATGTAATACATCTTCATTTTGACTGTTCTAGTACCACGAATAGCAGGAATCAAAGTGCAGTTCCAGACAGGCCGTTATCCCAGGAACATCTGTATTTAAAAAGTGCAGATGTTCCTGGAAGCCCATCTACACACACCCCAGAAAGCGCACGCTTTCTGGGATGGGTGTCCAGATGTGCCTCCGGGACTTCCTGGGAGAACACCCGGACACTCTACCTCCCTTCCCAAAAGCCCTAAAAAGCCCTTTGAAAAAGAGCAGGAGTGATTTTTCTCCTCCTCCTCCCGCCTTTCTCCTGGCACGTAATTTCTACATGGTAGGAGAGCTACGGCAGCTCTCCAATGGAGGCCTGGTAAGTACTTTCCTTTTTTAAAGGGCTTTTTAGGGATTTGGGGGAGGAGGTTGGTATTCCCACAGTTTCTGGGATAATTTAGCCTGGAGAACCACGGGAATACTGTCTGCTGTTCAGACACCGGAAGTAGTGGGTTTATCCTGCGCCTTCCAAGAAGGAGCAGAATAAAGCCACTATTTATTTACCACACTTTTATCCTGCCCTTTTCAGTCCAAAGGCAACTATCAAATTAATTAACCATAAACCAGGGTTTTGTTGGTTTGTGGCAAATTAATTCAGGTTTGTCCAGGACATCATCTGGACAGCCCCCCCCCCCCTTTTGCAGAAGTTTCCACAATAAAGTGGCTGTCAGGAACCACAGGCATACTGCCTCACCTCAGATGGGAGTACTTGGGTACTTTGGGATGGGTCCCAATGAAGATTTTTACTATTGGACAGATTTAGTCTGAAGACACGTGAAATGAGAAGTGTTTCCTGCAATATTTGAACTGGAAGATTTTCCTTTGCTTTATATCAACAGATCTGTTTTATTTGTTCGTTTTAATTTGACATGCTTCTTTAAGAATTATGGTTATGGAACAGTTTCAGTCAATCAATGAATTGTTTTTAACATGCTCATGTTAGTAATGCTGGAATGCTACATTCACAATTTAAGGGCTTCCCAGGAATAGCCACTTCAATAAGACTACAAGATAAATGTAAGTTTTATTTTAGGTATATTATGCGCATTGTAGCTGCCGAATTTTACATCATTCAGAAGAATGTTCCACTCCATGTTTCTATTTAGATGTTGTTAGCCAGAGGCAAGATTGCAGGGGATGTTAATAGAAAAGACAAAATCTATATGATCACCTTAACAGGAAAAATAAGCATATCCAAAGTAAGGCCTGATGTGAGAAAAACCAGAGCTTGCACAAAGGGATCAAGGTAGATCCAGAGAAGATAATGGAAAGAAAGATCCTCAGAGACTAAACTCTAATCATTAAATGAGAAACATGTGAAGTTACTCATCTTATTACATCAAGTTGTTCCTTTTAAAAAATCCTGGTAATGTAAGGGATTCTCACAGATTGACAGCTAGTAAACAGTCTGTCTAAAACAGTGACAGGCAAAGGAAGACCATCCAGATGTTGATGAACTACAACTCCTATCAGCCCTTGCCAGCACAGCCAATGGTAAGAAAACTAAAAATTGCACTTCAGGAACATCTGGAGGTCCATGCTTTGCACTCTCCCATCCTAAGCACGTTTATTCAGACGTAAACCCTATTATATTCACTGGAACCTACTTCCAATTAATTATTAAGAACAAGTCTCTCCCTTGAACATTGAAAAACAAACCAGAAAGTAACCACAGAAAAAGCCGCAAGAGTTCCAAAGACACCCCCCCCCAAAACCCCCCCAAATATTTAAAAAGCCAGGAACAACAACAAAAAGCACACTTCAAATCCTTGTGATTACCTTCGGTAGCAAAGCACTGGTTTCATCATCTCTCTTCTTCTTGTCCCGGAAAGAAAGTCCTTGTAAAAAAGTCCTGGAAAATGTGAAAAGTTTCTTTGCCATATTTCTCTGGTTAATTTGAAATCAATCTGTACTGCCCTGTGTCAAATAAGAAAAATAAAACAACCGTAGACGTCTTATGCAACACCAGGAGGGAAACTTTAAAGCAAAGCCTCACAGTCATACTTGTATCATGTGAGAAATCACATTTTGGAGCTTAGAGAGTATGGCTTTGTCTTGTTGGCTGTGAGGGCATTGAACGGCACAGTAACCAGATACATGTAATTTGTATAGGTTGCATACTCACAATGACTCTACATAAATGAATGTCATTCATAACTAATTGTTTCTAATCATAATGATTTTTTTTTAGAAACTGCAAGTTGCTTCTGGTGTGAGAAAATTGGCCATTTAGCGGGGACGTTGCTCAGGGGACGCCCGGATGTTTTGATGTGTTACCATCTTTGTGGGAGGCTTTTACCATGACCCCACATGGGGAGTTGGAGCTGACAGAGGGAGCTCATCTGTGTTCTCTCCGGATTCAAACCTCTGACCTATGGGTCTTCAGTCTTGCCGGCACAAGAGTTTAACCCCATGATGGCGAACCTATGACACGTGTGTCAGCACTGACACGCGTAGCCATTTTCGATGACACACAGCCGCATGCTGTGAAGGACATTTCATCCTCAGCTCCTACACCAGCATTTTTCTATAATGCCGAGATATATGGCATTATAGAAAAAGCAGGTAACTTAAATAATTAGTTTTTGGTTTATTAAATACAGTTATATATTACAATAATATATTTTTCTTACTAAACTATAAATATCATGAAATTATGGGTTTTTCTCGAAGCGACATCCTCCTCGAGTTATGCTCGGTTTTTTGGCGAGTATTGACACACCAAACTCAAAAGGTTGCCCATCATTGGTTTAACCCATTGCACCACCGGGGGTTCCAAATTTAAGAAGATTAAAACTGGATTCACTTTGCTTTGCACATTCACTGTGTTATTATTTGGTGAGAACCTTATAGGGTGCTGAATAACACGAGGGCATTTTGCGGTATGCGAAACAAGCTACAATTCAGCAGTGGCTTGCTGTATTGTTTTGTATTTTATGTAAGCCTCTCTAGGAATCTTTCTGACTGAATAGTAGAATAAAATGCAACAGACAAGGGCTGAATTCTGACCTGGATCCGAGAAAGGGCTTTGGATTCACCCAGACAGGAATTTGCTGAGTCTCACGGTGTATCTGCTCTGTACAACTAATGTAGTTTGACCTCACTTTAATTGCCATGGCTCAATGCGATGGAATCATGGGAGTTGTAGTTTTACAAGGTCTTTATCCTTCTCTGCCAAAGAGTGCTGGGGCCTCATCAAATTACAAATTCCAAGATACGGTAGCATTGAGCCATAGTAGTTAAAAGGGTGTCAAACTGCATTACTTCTACAGAGTATATGCACCCTGAGTCTTGGGCCCCTTCCACACAGATGAATAAAATCCCACATTTTCTGCTTTTAACTTAATTATATGGCAGTGTGGACTCAGATAATCCAGCTCAAAGCAGATATTCTGGGTTATAGGGCTGTGTGGAAGGGCCCTTGGCTCTCTATCTGTAAACAGAGATACTGACATTACTGTGATAAGCACTGAGTAAAACATTCTTCATCATGAAAGCCATATCTGTGCTTAGAATAATTATATTAGCTGATTATTGGAAGGGGTGTCTACAAGGATATCACTAGCAAGCAAGATAATCATCCAAAATGTTTACTCTCCCCTGAAGATTGTGAGGCAATGGATGCCATTCATTCTGATTGGTTACTATTGCTGCAGTACATTATGCATTCATGGTGGCTTCTTGGACATTTCACAGTGTGAAAGCTTTGGTGGAAATGCCAAAGAGCGTATATCGAAATTTACAGGTAAATTAGCAACCTTAGCCAGACCATCCAAATAAACCTAACATGTTGATATTACCAACTGCATTAACTCAGCTATTGAAATAAGTCGGCTATGATTTAGGATGAGTAACTGCCAATATCAAACACTGAAGTTACTTAGATTTCAGAGTTAAAGAAAACACAGCAGATTCTGTTGCCTTTCAATACTAGAAATGTGGTGGTTGCAGGGAAATTTCATGGGGAGAGGGAAGACATAAATTGTCTAATAAAGCTGTTAGATTGTGATGTCATAGAAAAGTCATCACCTTAAGCACAAAGTGTTAGAGGTGGACTCGCAGTGTAAATAATTTTTTCCAGAATAGTTACCTGAAGACTCAACACAATGAAGTCCAAGTTGCTGTTTTGATTACAGCCCTCTCTTGCATTTAAAATGAAAACTGCACAATTCAAAGTGCTGGCTTTGGCCTATAAAGCCCTAAACGGTTCTGGCCCAACTTACCTGTCCGAACGCATCTCCCCTTATCACAAGTATGGTTGGCGGGGACAAGGGATAGGGCCTTCTCGGTGGTGGCCCCTCGGCTATGGAACACCCTCTCTAGGGACATCAGATTGGCTCCCTCCCTTTTAACATTTTGGAGGAAAGTTAAGACATGGTTGTTTGAGCGAGCGTTTACAAATGCAGGGTAACTGACATAGGAAATGGAATGACTAGACGATGGAATTGGACAATGTTTTAACAAGGAGATGCTAATGATATTGGTTTTTATTGTTTCTGTTGTGGTTTTATATTGTATTTTAATGTTTCTAATTGCATTTTGATATGTGTATTGACTTACTGCCTGTAATCTGCCTTGAGTCGCCGAAAGGCGGTATACAAATACAGTAAATAAATAAATAAATAAATAAACTGGATCATTATACAAACCAAAGAGATAATTTTCCATACCTCAACACTTTAACCTTACTAAAGTAGCAGTATTACTGATAGCCCAGACAACCTGTACATTAAATAATACTATCTGGACTAGTTGTATATTTTTTTCCAAGATTGAGAAAAGAATCTAGGACACAAACCGAAATAGAAAGAAATGGCTGGATTCAGTTTAATGAAAGGGATGGCCCGTGTACCCCAAAGCCACCTAATTCTGACTGATCCCGGGTGCTAAGCAGGGTCAGTCCTGGTTAGAACTCGGATGGGAGACTGTAAATAAATACCATGTGCTGTAGGCTACATTTCAGAGGAAGAGGCTGGCAAAATCACCTCTGAGGATACCTTGCCAAATTAAACCCGATGAAATTAATGGGGTCACCATCGGCTGACTGGGGACTTTAAAGGCACACACTCACATACAAGACTGAATGGATTTTATGATATGGTCACAGACCAGGGGCTTATGAATAGGACTTGTCGGGTGACAAATTTAAGTCCTATTAATGCCAGGAAAGCAAGGTTTGGACCATCACTCAACCCAATGAATGAACTTGAGTGAGTTGCACTTTCTCAGCCCCAAAGGAAGGCAATGAGAAATCCATCTGAATGCAAAAAAGACCCTTGGTAAGTCGAAGGAGACTCAAAGGCTCTTAACACCAATGAACATTTGAAAGGGTCCCAGAATGGCCAAGTCAGGCTCTTAACCCGATAGCATATTGTAGAAGTTTCTTTATGGGTAAAGAAACCAATTCACAGATTTGGGTGTCCCTGAAACCAAACTCCCACAAATTATGTACGAAATTAAAACTAAGGGTGTGGGAAATTATGTTCGTTGATTTGAATTTTGGATGATTTCAGAGATCCGGTAGCCAAACTGCTGGAAACGGATGCGGTTCACTTTAAAAATCTCAAATTCCCTGCAGTAGTTTTGGACTCCAACTCCCAGAATCCCTAGACAACTTTCCCAATGGCTAGGAATTCTGGGAGATGAAGTCCAACAGAAGCTGAAGGCCTAATGTCGGGAAGCAGGGACCCGGAGTTCTGAAGAGACCCTTCGAGGAGGGGGCGGGCTGAGGGGGCGGGGCCAATACGGATAGGGGGCGGGGCTAAAAGGAAGGGCGGGGCGAGGGAGCGGAGCTGTGGCCGGAACTGTTTCTCCCCGGAACCTTGTTTCCGCGGCTCGCGTTCCCGGGCAGGACCGGTGACGCGGCAGTCTTGGCGGCGCACGAGCGGCAGGCAGGCAGGGAGGGAGAGCGGAAGGCGGCGCCGGGGCCGGACGTGGGCCGGGAGCGGCGATGGCGGAGACCATTGTAAGTGACCCTTGAGCGGCAACAAGGAGGGAAGGGAAAGGAGGAGAGGCCTCGGCGGGGCTCTGAGGCCTCTGGGGGAGAGGAAGCGCCCCTTCCCTCCCCTCAGTGCCTCTGCCTCCCCCGCTCAGTCCTGGAGGGCCTTTTGTCACAGAGGGAGACCGGCTCCTTCCTCTCCAGCGCACCCTTCGGCCTCTCGGCTCGCCCTCCCCCCTCTTGGGCTTCCTCCTTTCCCCCTTCCTCTTCCCCTTCCTCCTCCTGCTTTTCCTGACGCCGCACCTTGACTGACACGGTCGCCCCTGGGCTCCTTTTCTTTTGGGGAAGGAAGAGATCACTGTCCCCGAGGGTTTATTTCCCTTTGAGGAAAGAGAGGTTAAAAATGGGACGGGTTGTCTCCTCGAAACCGAACGGGGGGGTGGATTCGTACTGTTTGTGTCCCCCTCCCATCCCGCCTTTCCCTTCAAAAGAGTTATATTCAATATCACTTCAACTTTTCGCATTCTGCCTCTTCCTGAAAGACACAGGAAAGAGTGAAACTGAGTGACTACAATTCCCAGAATCCATCGGGGCGGAGCCATGACTCAAACTAATTTAAAACTCATAAAAAAACTTGTAGTGTGCAGAAAGGCAACCATGTTTTTTTGTATCTTCCCCCCTGCTGTCAAGATGGCAGATATATGTAAACACCTTTCTTTATAAAAGGTAAAGGTTTCCCTCTGACGTTCAAGTCCAGTCGTGTCCGACTCTGGGGGTTGGTGCTCATCTCCATCTCTAAACCAAAGAGCCAGCGTTGTCCATAGACAACTCCTAGGTCATGTGGTCAGCATGACTGCATGGAGCACCGTTACCTTTCTGCCAGAGTGATACCTATTGATCTATTCACATTTGCATGTTTTCAAACTGCTAGATTGTCAGAAGCTGGGGCTAACAGCAGGAGCTCACGCCATTCCCCTGATTCGAACTTGCAGCCTTTCAGTCAGCAAGTTTAACAGCTCAGCGATTTAACCCACTGCTCCACCAGGGGCTCCCGTTTCTTTATGGATGACTTTATATATAACTTTAGACCACCACTACATGATGGACAAATGTGAAACCTGGTGCTGAAATTCAACTGTTCATTGGAGCGTAGTGATTTATAACATCACTTGACTCCTCCCCCCCCCCCCCAAATTATGTTTAATCACTGTTCTACCTCATTCTATCGAGGTCCAGTTTTAATACTATAGTCTTTGTTATACTTCCTGGTGACTGTGTTGCTAGGAGATTTGTCTCTTTGTCCACTTGTATGTGATTATATATAAGAATAAGTGTGATGAATTCAGTATGTAAATGTTTGTTGTTGTTCATTCATCCAGTCGTTTCCGACTCTTCGTGACTTCATGAACCAGTCCATGCCAGAGCTCCCTGTCGGTCGTCTTCCAATGGCATACTGACATTTTTCTGGTTGTACTGGTCCATTTAGTTTTCTGGGGTGGTTTGCCATTGCCTTCCCCAGGGATCACGCTTGGTCTAACCTCTCTGCCATGACCGTCCTGTCTTGGATGGCCCTTCACGGTTTCGCTCATGACATCATTGAGGTGCTCAAGCTCCAGCGCCACAACATTTATGTTGATTTCTTCATCTTTGAAGTGGAAAACAAAATATGTTTCTAACTCACTGCCTCATGGGATTGACATTCTTCAGTGTAGTGCAGTGGTTCCCAACCTGTTTTTGACCAGGGACTACTTGACCACTCTCCAACATTAGTACCAAAAGGGTTACGAGTCAGTTTTTGGTCAACTTTAGATTTGTTTTGGTTATTTTGGGTGCTGACTCAAAACATTGCATTGGCTAGACCACATCAGCTCTAGTTTCTGATACAGAACATATGCCATCCAGTAGTAGCCATCTGCTCCTCCCCACAGAAAACCGTATTTAATAAGCTTCAGCACTATGAGAGGGTTTTGTGAGACTAGTCACTCTCGTTGCAATGGTGTAGTAACGGTGAGGCCATGGACCATATTTTAATTCTCATGGATCACAGGTTGGCAACCACTGGTGTAATGTGATAGACTATTTTCTACTTCAAAACTTTAGAAACATTGGAGTTTCTGTGCCTTCTTAAAAGGGTGTTCTGATTAGGTTCTTGTGGGTTTTTTCGGGCTATTTTTCGGTGTTCTGATTATTTGGGCGTAAGACCAAATATTTGCCAGAGGGTAAACTTGTTTTCATCAGCATTTTATCTTAGCACTAACAAGTAAGGCCAGGAGGTGGGTGAAGTTACGCTACTGAGGAAGACTGTACTGACAATTACTTTGCACTAAAGTGGTTTATATGAGTACACTTGGACCTCACTTACATTTAATGCAGCTTCAAACTTGTGTTGAAGAATGTAGTTTTGCTGTAAGGAAAATTACATAGGAAATCCTGGAACCAGTTTGATGCCTGTGTAGTGATAGACTGCAAAACACAGATGTGCATTAAGCACACTCTTTTGCACGCTTTTGTGGGAGTTTGTTGTCCGGCTGCTGGAGGTTCAAACTGTATTAAACGATCAGAGTGACCTTTCTGAGCCTTTTCTTTATGTAAGAAATTATTCTTTACCCTACATATACAGCAAGAAGGCAAAGCTAAGGCTTGCTGGTGTGAGCAGGAAAGAAAGTTTCCAGTGTATTTTGTTTCAGGTACTGGGGAAAGATTACACATAACATAGGAAACTACACTTTAATAGGATAGACTCTATGACTTACGTCTAGATTATATGTCTAGTCGTCACTGTATATTGTGCACTCATAGCAGGTTTCCAGAGTTTTAGATCTCAGATTTGCAGGTGCCATCTGGTTCGCTTGTTGTCTGACTTCTTTTAAACTGAAAGTGTCATGGCTGAACTTGGGATATTTTGTGTACTTACTGCTGAAGTATTGTCCCTTTCCAACCTATCAGAGAGTTTGAAGACTCTCTAAATGTGATGTACATTCCCCTGCAAAGCTTCTGACATACAGGTTCATATCACATAGGTATGAATGGACAATGAGAAGCCTCAGGCAGCAGGAAACAAGAAAGAGGGGATATACAATGCTGGTGTCCTGGTTATACTTTACTCAGGCTATATCTTAAATCTTTGATATGTGTGTGTCTGGGTACATGTGTATGTGTATACATACACTCACAGAAGCAGTCCACAAGTTACAAATATCCAACTTACAAATGACTCAGTGAAGAATGGGGGTGAGACAACGGGAAGTGAGATAAATCTACCCCTAACAAGAGAAATTCACTCCTGGAGGAGTTATCATGGGGAAAAGGTGTCTCCACTGAAGCTTTCTCACTAATCCTTGTTTCCACAACAAGCCACATTTTTCAAAATCCAATTATCACAGAGACAGAAAGTGATGTGAAATCTTCTGAACAAGGCCACAGACAGCAAAACAAATACAGCAGAGGTGTTAACTCTTCCCTATGCTATCCAAAGTGTGTGTGTGTGTGTGTGTGTGTGTGTGTATAACATTTGGCTAGAGTTACACTTTAACTATGTTCTGACTTACATACAAATTTAACTTAAGAACAGATCTACAGAATTTATCTTGTTTGAAATTTGGGGTCTGCCTGTATATAGACATACACATATACACACACCTTTTAGATCTGTTATGTTGATACCATGCTGTATAATTTCTTTTATTCCTTTCTAGATTTTGCATTCACATTGTACTTTTGTGTAGTTTTTTGTTGCAAATCTCCCAGAGCTTTTGTATGTGAAAATAAATACATTCTATTGAATTGTTACACCATGGGTAACAATTCAATAGAATACTTCCCATTCTTTTTTTGTCTGTAGCCTGAACCCATGCAATCAGGTGTTCAAAATAAGGGGTGTGATTGGGCAGCACAAAATTTTATAAAATTTATACTTAAAAGGACATATATTTAATTGTCGCCAGCATCTTATTTTTGTGATGGTAATGCCTAGATATGCCTAGGACAGCAAATCAATAATGTTAGTAATCTATACTAGTAAAGAGGCAGAGAGCTGTTTGCACATTTTTTGGCATGAAGGCACAGCTTTCACATTCAGCAACTTGGTTATGTATACTATGAGTTAAATGTAGTTCTAGTTAAACCTGTTTCTGGTAGGGTTGAATCAGCCATTTTGTTAATGACTCCTGAATTTTGCCCTAGCATTTTGACTTGCTTTGAAAGGAACTATGTGGTGCTGGTATGTGGTTCTCCTTTTTGAGCCAGATTGTTTATAGAGATGCTTAGATAGATAGGTAGATTGATTGATTTACTTATTTTTTTATTGTTATTGCTGTTGTGTGTCTTCAGGCAATTTCTGACTTTTAAAAATCCTAAGGAGAACCCACTAGGGGGCTTTTTTTTTTGGCAAAATGTGTTTAGAGGAAATTTGTCATTGCTTTTCCCTAAGCCTGAGAGAGAGTGACTTGCCTAAGGTTACCCAGTGGTTTTCCATGGCAGAGTGAGAATTAAACCTTGGTCTCTTATTTTCCCTAGTCCAAACACTCAGATTACTATAACATGCTTCCTTATTTATTTAGCAGAATTGCCCAATAGCCACCATAGTTCTCCTGGAGAGAAATACATAAAAATAATTTTCATTCTGAGAGTGCCAATTACTAGAGAGACTGGCAGACCAATAAAGCTTGTGAAATGTTCCTCTTTAGTTACTTATCTCCAAGTTGTCAGTAAGTATCCATCCAGAAAACAGGGTGTTCTTGCTCATAGTGAAAGTTTCGACACATGTCAGTGTTACAAGATTCTGACTTGCAGGTGACATTTAATTTGGCAGATTTCCTGGATGGTAGTGTCTGTGCTTTAGGGCATCTGCTGAGGCAGCAGCTGGCAACTATCAGCTCAACCACATCTGGAAATTTCTGCCTTTCAGTTCTTCTTTTAATCCTTTTTTAACGTATGCAATAACTTTTGAAAAGTGTCTGTCTTTTAAAGGACCTTTTGCCCACTGTATTCACTTTGTATTTGCAACCATGATGGAGACTGTATGACATTATATATCCAGTTCAAAGTTGATTCTTCAAGTGGAAAAAACCAGGCCTCTTACATAAGACTTTAAAAATTCACAAGGCTTATTGCTGGAGATAATGCTATGACTTGGTCATAAAATTAGTCATTCAGTTTTCACTCTAGGGTAAAATACTTTGGGGAGTATACAGCACTTGAAGGTATTGTAAGAGGAACATTTTCAGCTTTGCTGCTGCTCTAAGTTAAATGCTATGCATGGTTCATCTCATACAAGTTCTTTTGAGTAAAGTGGAGCTTACTTTCAGTTAAGAGCGTATAGGATTGCTTCTCTCTCCTTATATTTTTGGAAGAGAAAGTAGGAGCAGGGTTTAGGGAACTATAATTTTAGTATGGTGTTTTAACCCTCTAGTAAATACTTTAGATGTATGTATACATCTTTTAAATTAATGAAATTAACTTTGACTAAGAGGCTATATCCAGTTGTTAGCACTAACTGCAATAGACTCTTTGAAGCAGTGGGACTTATACAGATTTTGACTTCACAAGTCCCATTGATTCATTGAGTGTACTGTTCATTGAGTCTAGTTGGAGCTAACAACTTGATTTAGTTCAGTAGATTTCACAAAAAGCAGAGATGAAAAAGTATGCCTGATACTTTTTTTGCCCTGTATATGTGAAACATTAATCATGTTTAATTATTACATGTTGTTGAACTTTGTTCTCTTTGATCTGTAGAACCTATCTAAGATACATTTCACTATTTTTGTTATTTAGAGAACAAGCTGCTATTTTTATTCCAAACTGGCAAAATAGGTAACACTGGCAAAATAGGTAACAATTTTTATTCCACACCGGCAAAATATGTAACAAATTGTGTGGTAAAGTCTTCTTCATTCATATCCTGAGGATTTCTCTATATTGCTCCACAAAATATGTAAATATAGTTGGTGTGTACATGGGAATTGGTTCCAGGACTCCTTGTGGATAATAAAAACCATATATGTGGAAGTCTTTATTAAAAATTATATAGGGCAGCAGCTGCCAGATGTACATTCCTCAGACTCTCACACCTTCAGGAAGCACTTTAGCCACCTGCTTCTGCATTTGAGGTGACAAGCAGCAGTGGTTGGTGTGTTTCCCAGAGGTAGGAGAGTCCAAACAATAAGGTGCTTCTGGCAGCAGGGGCTTGCTGCTATATCTGCTGCTGATCTACATCATTGTTAAACTTTGATGATAGACTTAAAAGCCAATCATCAAATTCATTGTGCTCTTTGTAAGCCTGTTGTGGTTTGCAGAAAGACTGTGAATATGAGACTTATAAGCCCCAGTTATAGATGGCATAGGACAAAAATGGAGACAGTGGCAAGCTCCGCCAGCTGCCCACTTGTGTCTTGTGAAAGAACCCCACAACCTCAAATGCAGTAGCATGTGGCTGATATGCTTCATGTTGTGAATTCAGATGTTTAGTATTATGTATAATTGAATCCATGGTGGGTTACATTTACACTTCTTGACCTTGCAGATATAGTGGTCCCCCTGCAATTCTACCTGATAAGACAAAATGTAGGGTAATTACAAAAGAAGACAGCAACAAGGAGTATCATTCTACTCTGACTTGCTTGGTTATTCAGTTTATCACACTGAAGAAGAAAAGAAAACTTAAGACAGTTCTTCTTGGACATATCACCTCCCAAATGTTTTCATACATGAAATCTGGGCAGTATTTTTATTAATATGTCCCGTAGCAATCTTGGTTTGATTTTCCATCCACCAGTATGTATGTTGTGGTAGTCACTTGTGAGTACAGAAAGTTTTTGTACACCCCAAAAAAGATAGCCACTGATTTAAGGGCCCATCTCACCTTCAAATGATGATTTTCAGAGTGAAACCACAGTGGAGTTTCCCCCATCGTTTTGTATTCCACACAATTTGTACAGCTTAATTTATTGAAAATGGATGTTGATTTTCCATGTTCACTGTTAGTGATGCATCCTGGGGTATATTTTATTCTGTCTAAATAAATAAACCCATGCACAATTTCTCTGATTTGTAATGTTTAAAGTCAGCAGGTATAAGCTCATTCAGACAATATTTTTCAAAATTATCATAGTATTGTATATTTTAGTTCTAATATAATAATAATGTGACAATAAATTATAATTGCCCGTTAAGAGTATTTCTTCTTTCAGTTCTGTGCTCTTGAATACATATTTTAAAACTGAAATTATTCTGATTACAAAGATTACAGGCAGAAGTTATATTGATCCATTTCATGCATTCTCGTGCAAGTATTCTGTGTTTATTCTCTCTTGCTCCAAACGTCAAAGTCTTTTGTGCCATGACAATTTCTATTGTCTAACTTCCTCCAAAATCATTACAATTCTTAATAGATAATCCGTGTCCAGTCCCCAGAAGGAGTGAAACGTATTACAGCAACAAAACGGGAGACTGCAGCAACATTTCTGAAAAAGGTATTCTTGTTTAGTATAAACTTTGGTATGCTGTTGGTCATCGCCATTCTCTACCTGCTTGTTCGGATTTGGTTGGATTTGCAGAGAAGCTTTCTGTGATGATGGTTTAACATAATTGGAAGAGAGTTGTGGTGGCTTTACAAATCAGCATACATTTGTCAGGATGTTAATCTCTCCCAAATTAAACCTAAACGCTGTTTTGTTATAAACCCACATTTGACATCTACATCCAGGCCTAACTCCTACTGACATGTCACAGCTGCTGATTCTGTCAAGTTATTTTAAACCTTTGGTGTTGACAGGTAAAGCGTGATGGTTCAGTACACCTTGGCACCCACAAACTGTACAAGGAATGTGGTAGAGTTTCCATGCTGGTTGTTTTTAAAGGGATAGTAGGTTTTTATGGTTGGTTATAACCCAAAAATGTTTTTAGTAGGAAGTGGTGATGCTAGTTCATACCTCTGCCTTGGCTTAGTTGACATAAAAAGCGAGCTATCTTCAAGCTTCAGTACTAAACCTATAGGGATTGAGACCTACTGAGTTCAGTTAAACCTGCACCTCATTAAGTGTTATTTAAGCTCGATCTGTGCACTTTTTAAAAAAAATGCCATAACATGCCACATTAAAACAAATTGGCAGTAGTTCAGATTTTAAATTCTATGCTAAAATAAAATTAACACTTAATTTAAACTTTATAAAACAATCCCAAAGTAACAGTATAGGCATGACCTAAAATTGTAATGAAACTGAAGAAATATTGTAAGCTGCTCTGAGTCCCCTTCAGGGTGAGAAGGGCGGCATATAAATGTTGTTAAATAAATAAATAAATCGGTTATTGACTCTCTTGCATCAGAATTCTAATGGTAGCCTTCCAGTTGACTAGTATCCATAAATTCACATGCCATCTCTCCACTGGCAACTAGTTTGTTGCCGCTGCTGCCCTGATCCTGGAAAATTTGTAAGGTATCTGCTCTACTTCCCTGCCTAGGAATGTGTGAAAATTCTCCTCCATTGCACAAGTGAATGGCAGTCATTCACAGAAAGCTTCAAAATAAAATAATTTTCTCTCTTAGTCTATATATTACTAAACAACTGGTGTCGTTCTCTCATCTCCTTTTAGCAATCAAGGGAGTGAGTTGAAATATTTTAATGACTATTTCCACTTTCTCTAGTTGGATCTTGATATTATTATAGTGGTGAATTTGTTTAATTAGGTTAAAGCAACTGCATCATGAGGTTGTGTACTTCTCACTTCTCAAGTGTGAATAGTTTAACCGTTAATTATTTGAAAGTCTAATTTAGGATTGTTGTTTAATTTGTAACATCAACCTGTTCAATATGTGCTGTCTTTGTGTGTACTACTAGCTTGTAGATTTTTTAAAACATGTATTTCTGAACTTTTTTGAGCATGTATTTCCATAAAATACCTACAACTGAAATTTCATATATTTTTATGCATAGCTTTATTGTATTTAGCCTCGTTTTCCTGCAGTACAGAACCCAGATACTATCTTATTTCTTCCTTTTTCCTAGGTTGCAAAAGAATTTGGTTTCAGAAATAATGGATTTTCGGTATATATCAATAGAAACAGGACTGGTGAGATCACGTCATCTCCCAATAAATCCCTCAATTTATTAAAAATAAAGTAAGTATTCAGCAAAAGACATGGAAATGCTGGTTGATAAAAGTAAATTTGGCACTTTCTTTGAAGGCCTGTATAATATTTCTTGAGAGTGTCTGATAATTAAGAAGCTACTACAGTGTACTCTATGCATCATCTCTCCTAGTTAAGCCCATAGGTAGCTGAAGTAATTTAGTATGTGATATTACAGAAATTTGAGTTACTATTTAGTAACCTGTTATTATAGGTTAAAACTTGTTTATATAAGAGGTAGAATTGCTGAGAAACTGTTAATTCATTTTTAAGAGAAGGAAATTGGGAGCCTTGACCAAACTAATGGACTTGAAGAGCAGCTTAATTTTTATAGTTAATTTATACTTTTTAGCTATACACGTTCTCTCGCCTGCCTCAGAATTCTACTATCATTCATATATTCCTGAAGGAGAAATCTAGTGCTTAGGATGCAGCTGAAGGAGTGTGTATCTATGGTGTGCTATTGTTTTTAATATTTTTTCCGCTGGTTGAATACAGCTCTGTTTTAACAGGTATTGTGTAGGTTTATCATTTTATATTTAAGCTGATTTGGAAATTATTAGATAACCAGGGTAAGAATAACCACCTTCAAATAATGATTGGTATATAATGTAGACTTTTATTTCTTTAATAATTTTATGGGTATATTTTAGCATAATTTCCCCATGTGGCTTACTGTTTTAAAAAATAAGACACAATTTCACAAGACAGATAAAACAAACAAATAGGAGTGGCTATGCAAAAGACATTAGCCTTCAAAAATGCTAAAATGCCTGGATGCAAGCTAACTTCTTAATGTAAGTAGTCAGGAAATCCATTTGAATGGGTAATAAGGAAATGTCCAGGATGGTTTTTCCAAAAGCAAGGTGCCATGACTGAAAGGACCCCTTTTTGTCACATTCACTTCAGATGGTGTGATTTGGAGGAAGGCTTCAGAAGATTGCAGAGTTTCCCCCCTCATTCAGATTTATGTAGTAAAAGATGTGTCCCTTGGGTAGCCAAGCCTCAAGCTGTTTAGGATTTTACTAATAACGAACAACATTTTGAGTTGTGCTTAGGAATGTATTGGCAAATCATGTAGCCATCTAAGGAATAGGGTCGCTGTTAATAACTGACAGCTGCATTTTTGTGCCAGCTGAAATTTCTGAAAAGTCCAGAGGTGGCCAGACACACTGCATTATTATAGTTCAGTCTAGAGTTTGCAGAGGGATTAATCACTATGCCCCCACTGTATCTGTGCAGAATGAGGCGCAGCTGATGTACCAGCCTCATTTGGTGAAATGCACGGATGTATTGTGGATGCCACTTGGGCTTTCAGTGACAGTACTGGATTTATCACAACTCCCAGGTTGCCAACCCTGTTCTTTGTAAGGGATTGGGGAGATACCATCCTCCTGATCAGATGAGTCTACTATCAATGGAACCTCTCTCTTGTTTGCAGAATAACAGCTTATGTATTTCTCTTTAAACTTTATATTTGATCTCAAGGCTTCCCTCTTATCTAATCCTTCAGTATGTTCTTCAGAATGAAGGATGAACTGTCTTTAAAGTTCTTGGTTGTGACTTTGGGTTCAGATACATGTTTTACCATGATTTTCATAACTTTGGGGAATTGTGTAAACTCCTTTAGCTTGTATTTACAATAGCATTTCTAGCCTATGAAGTGTGTGCCATGATGTGAAATTACTGTAGCTGACAAAGCAAAGCATGTACATGTATGATAGTTTTCTGCTTTGTGGGTCAGTGACTCACCACAAAGATTGTTTGCCCAGAGGTGCATTACTGAATCACACCATCCCCAAACTCCAGTTGCAAGTCTTTAACTACAATGAAATAAGGAAATATGAAGACAGCTCCATTAGCACTTCACAGTTATTAAGTAACAATGAAAAGGGGCAAAGCAATGATTAATTCCCAAAGACTGTCTGAAACAAAGAAAATGTTCACTTCTTTCTGGAACGCCCCAGGGAGGAAGCTTTTTCATTTTCTGTTGGATGGGAATTCTCTTTAGGAATAGACAGCCCATTTACTCCTGTGTCAGACTTTTGATGTTACTCCTGCAAGGAGGAAAGGTAGCCTTAATGGAATGGGTTAGTCATCAGCTTCCTGTTAACCACCCTTTTATCTGCTGGTCTTAACAGCCTGTCAATAATTGTGGGTGAGGTTGGGAAAGAAAAGATGCCATTTACTATCGGAGTCTAGAAACACATTGGTCATTTTTTCAGCATCTGTGCTCTTTCTATTGTGAATCAAGTGGAGGAACAGAAGTGCCTTAATATGTCGCACAGGATAAAAGTTCAGTGATACTGCCTGTTGGCGCATGTTTATTTATTTATTAGAAGCATTTCTATCCTGTCCTCCTCACCTCCGAACAGGGACTCAGGACGGCTTCCGACAGGCACCATTCAGTACCGAACAATAAATAACAGAGCATAAAATAGATTTAGCATACATTAAAAACAATTTAAAATATACATTAAAACAGTTCGCCATTTTGAGTCATCTTCCAAATCAATGTTTGAATAATGTATTTTTCTCAGTAAAATGTAGCTTTTAAGAGCACCAGTACCATGAAGGTAAAGTAAAGGACACATTTTGCTGAATTCTATGTAGATTTACTTTAAATTATGTAGCACTGAAAGGGTAGGCTTTTTTTTTAAAAAAAAAAAAAGCATCAGAATTCTCTGATTCTTTCAGTTTTAGGGTTGGATCCAGAGTTTCCTTGAACAGACTTCCAGTCTTGGCATTCTCTTGCTGGTGGAAGGACTTTGCTCCTTTCCCTACACATCCTTGTGAAACTATTCTGGAGGATTGGGGTATCCTTCAGAACAGGTGGGAGGTTGCATAGGGTGCCTGCAGAAGAAGTCAGTATCAGCAAAAAATGCCATTTTCTTCTCCTCACTTCCAGTCTCTTTTGTGAGTGAAACAGATAAGGGATGCTATGGATAATGAAAAGTGATAACTGTTGTAGGATTAGCCTGCCAACTCTGCCTAGCTCACCTAAGTATTTCTGTACTGAATACTAAGATGCTTTGATGTTGTAATACGCCCTGAGAACGTTGTTCATTCTGTAACACTCCTCACATATTCATGTCTTTCCCTGTAGGCATGGAGATATGTTGTTTCTCTTTCCCTCAAATCCACCCGGTTGTTCTTCTGAGAACATGGATGTCTCAAGTTCTCAAGGAGCACGCCAAATAGGCGTTCCGCAGGTGGTAGAGGATGAAATTGACCAGTACCTAATGAAACAAGATGGAAGGATTTACAGAAACAGAGACCAGCAACTGTAAATATCATTGTACTTTGAAAATTGTTCTGTGTGGAATATCAAATATCTACCTTTCACTTCGTGTTTATGTCCCTTCCCTTTCTTTCCAACCTGTAAATTAGGTAAAAACTTAGATCATTTAATTCTTTGTGGGTCATTTTTCAGTATTCGGTATTCAAACTAGGAGAAAATTAATCATAGAAAAGTATGGCAATAGAGCATACCTGGATATGCTATGTGTTTCAAAGTGCCTTGGTAAGGGATGAAATTTTGAGGAGAGAATTGCTTCATTGACTTCCAGCACAGAGCGAGCAAAGTGCTAGAAATTGACCTATAAAGGGCACTCTCCTACAGAATCATTGTGATAGAATCTCCACTTTTTTCTGTGTAGTCCAAACTGTAAAATAGTAATTCATAATCACAGATGCTATGTGATCGGGGCCTAATAAATACAGAGTCATATGCTAGTTTTCCAAATGCCTTTGATAAACCCAATCCTTGTTCCACAAGAATTGTTATCTCTAATTGCTACTGAAGGCATCATATCAACTTTTCCACTTATTTGGTCTTGATTTTTTTCTGTCTTTGTAGAATAAACTAGCAACTTGAAATATATTTGCTACTGCCAATATATTTCAAGTATGTGGGTTGCTTAATTATTAAGTCAGCCATTTGTTTCCATGTAGTATCTTAACAGCAAGACTGTGGAGTTAGTACACAAAACCTTTGACTTCAGTGCTTATGTTTTTCTACTGTCTGACTCCGGCTCCTTCTTAAATGGCAAATCTTAATTAACAATTTGACAGTTGTCAAATGGTAGCACAAGGCATTTCATAATCACCATATGAACCACCAGTCTGCTTAGACTGTCTAAATATAAAATGTATTGATTTGATTAACATTTCTGAACCAGAAAACTTTGCCCGATTCCTTTGAATGTAAATATGCAACAAACAGGCATTTAGTATTTTATTTTATTTTGAAATCAGAGTTAGTACATTTTTTTCTAATTCTACCCAAATTTGTTTATAATCCTGACTCCAGCACCACAGGCCTGATTAGTTGAGTTCTCTGGGCCAGGAACCAGGATTTTTCATCTTTTGACTTACGGTCAAACACTTCTGGAGCACTAAGGATTGTAAATGATTGATTGAGATGTAATGGGCCTACATGGCTGTAGGAACATGCCAGGAAAACGATTTCAGTTTAGACAAAGGTACAGTTCACCTAGAAAAGCAAAGAAATTGGCTGTAATGGCTATTGCTAAATTTTAGCATATCAGCATCTTCTTCAAGCACTGTATTGATGCTAATATAATTCAGGCGGACAAAACGGAGCATATATCAGAACTACTGGGTCTTAGTAATAAGCCCCAGTTATGGCTAAAGCTTTAGATAAAAAAGCAGTGATGTATCTTGTCCTGGACATAATGCTGCCCGTTCAGCTGCTGTTTCTTCACAATTAATGCCTGCCTTATATCTTCTTTGAAAGTGTCAGTGAATCCTGAACTTGATAAGAACTATTTGGGGGTAAATAAATTCTCACAAGACAGAGAAATCCTAAAGACAGAGAAATTATGAACAGATTGAGTGAAAGACCGATGGATCATCCATAATCCATATTCCGTTCCCAGAGCCAGTTACTCAATATCCCAAATGTTAATGTTTTAGAGGATGGGTTTTCTGGTAGGCCTTCATGCATTTTTAAAATAGCAACTTCAGATGCCCTGTATGCAAGGAACAGAAAACAGTACATCTCGATAATGTAAAGTTTGCATGAATTTATGTCTTCAGAGACAGTGGAAGGAGTTGTATTAAAGGAGCTGTAGAAGCCAAGTCCAGAGAATAGAGCAGCATGATTCCAGAGTCTTTGTCCTATCTCCCCCCCCCAATACAAATGTTCATATCTGTTCTTAACCCTTTTTTTGAATTCAAATAGCTTCATGCCTGGAGAAATGTCGCAAGTTTCAGTATTTTTGTGCTAAGACTCCATCTCACATGTATTCTCGACAACTACATACTTCATTGCTAGAAGCCGTACAGCTGTAGGGAGTATAGTGGAAACTATACTTAGGTGTTGGCATGTGTTTAGGAAAGGGCATTGTGATCATCTGATGACCTGTGGTTCACTTCTCAAATTAGTTCTGAGCGTAGACTTCCTTTTAATATACCTCCCCAGTAAATCTGACTTAAACTTTTGAAATGCATGATACACCTTTAAAAAGTAAACGCTCCACTTTGTGCCATTGTATGACTGTCCATGCAGAGGAGACAGTGCCTTAGTCAAGATGAGGAATAGAAACCTTTTAATAGTGAAGCATTTTCAGATTTTCAAAATGACAGTTCATGGAGGGAAAATTGTGCTTATAAAACCATCAAGGACAAAAAATGTGCTTTTTTGTTAGAAGTTACATCTAACTTCTATGAAGTATAATTGCCAAGAACAATCCTACACTGGCATTTATGAAGGAAGGAACCCCCAGTGGTTTTTGTTTTTTTCCGTGTCAGGAGCGACTTAAAAAAAAATGCAAGTCACTTCTGATGCGAGAGAGTTGGCTCTCTACAAGGAAGTTGCCCAGGAGATACCCAGATGTTTGATGTTTTACCATCCTGTGGGAGGCTTCTCTCATATCCCTGCATGGGGAGCTGGAGCTAACGGGAGCTCACGAAACTAATCAGATTCAAACCAGAGACCTTTCGGTCAGCAGTCCTGCTGCACAAGGGTTTACCCCATTGTGCCACTAGGGGCTCCCTCCAGTGGGGTGAAATTAATCTAAGAAAACTACTTTAAATGGGAGTTGTACAAATAAAACCGATAACATTGAGTAACAGTACGTGTCTTTATGTATTCCCCATCCGTATACAGCTGGTATAGAAGAATGCTTGACTGGATCTTTCCTACAAAAGTAACCAACACGTTTATATGTATTTTAAGTGGTTTACTACAGCATTCAGTAGAGTTTCAGATATGTATGGGACATAATAATAATAATAATAATAATAATAATAATAATAATAACAACTACTACTACTGCTACTACTACTACTGCTTTATTTTTATATCCCACCTCCATCTCTCTGGAGGGACTCGGCGTGGCTTACATGGGGATGAACCCAATCAACATGGTTAAAATACAGCATATTAAAATATCTAAACAACAACATAAAAGAAAAACAGAAAAAAACAATAGCATTATAACAAAATAAGAAACAAAACATCAAACTAATAACCAGCAAACTATTATAATAATACGTTTCTGGGCATGGATGGACAGACTGGTGCAAAGACAATTGTTAGGGCTGATTGATAAAGTGCATAGCTTATTTTTCAGCAATGGAAATAGAGGGCAGTAGAATATAGAGCATTATAATTTTAGGTACAGAACAATAGTAAAGTGCGAGGACAAGATTTTGGGTCCTAATTGGGGCGAAGCTATCTGGGGGATTGTATTGTCAAAATCACAGCGGAACAGTGGTCTTCAGATCTTTGCAGAAGGTGGACAGGGTTGGTGCTATTCTAATTCTGGGGAGGGAGTTCCAGAAATGGAGGGGCCACCACCGAGAAGGCCCCCTCTATCGTTTTCACCAACTGTCTCTGCGACAGGGGTGGGACAGAGATAAGAGCCTCCCCAGAAGATCTTAGAGATTGTGTCAGTTCATAGGGGAAGATGCGGTCACAAAAATAGGCAGGTCCCAAACCATTTAAGGCTTTATAGGTAGTAACCTGCACCAATTCATGAGCAGACCCCTTCCCCATTGTCTTATTTTGTGAATGGCTTAATAGGTCATATTTTCAGTTTTCACATTGGTTATCTCTTTAAATTGCACCAACCAGAGTATTTTTCTATTGCTACTGCTGAATACGGCTGCTAATGCTTGTTTCTCTTCTTCACACAGTTGTCGACATAGCCCATTGGGCAAATGTGTGCACTGTGTACCATTAGAGGTAAGGAATTAAACTAAAACTATTATGGTAACATTTTACTTAGTAAAAAAAGATCATATGTATGTGGTTGCATCAATGGCAGCTGTTGAAAGGATGTTGCTGAAACATTAATGCATCTTGCCTATGCTAGTAAATAAGCTAAACAAGTCCCCTGGATATATCTGTCTGGGCAAGACTGGAATTTTTCAGGTTTTTGACATCTGGCTTTTTCCAGTAATGGATTTAACAAGACATAGTACTAAAGGTTCAGACAAACAGATATGCATTTTGTATCTCCCACTTGAATTGTGAATCTCCCCCCGCTGTGCACATAGAGCTGTTTTTCAAAAACACTTACTGTTTATTCTTACATTCTGTTTTGATCTTTTGACTTCGTAAAATAAAGGTCCTGTGGTATTCTTCTCAGTTCTGCACAGATTCTTCAGATAACTGTGCCAGAGTTCTCTCGCTATCTTTGATCAGTTAGCCTTTAGCTCTGCCAGTTAAAGAAGAAGGAGAAAAAGAATATTATACCCATGAGGCAGGTTGGGTTTCTGTAACCATTTCGAGCAAGACTAAAACTCCATGTTGTATGAGGGGGTTGGGAGAAAGCATCCTGCTATTTCTGTCAAAGTAATAACTGCTGTGGAAGAAGAACACAAAGCTTTCTGATTGTTTCCACATTGAATGCCAAGCGGGGTTCAGACTAAAACATCCATTTGTTCAATGATCAATGTATTATCAAGCAGGTGTCTGACCTGGTTTTCCTTTGTGTATGTGGGTTTTTGGCAGCCTTTTGATGAGGATTATTTAAACCATCTGGAGCCTCCTGTGAAGCATATGTCATTCCATGCCTACATCAGGAAACTGACCGGAGGCGCAGACAAGTAAGAAATTTGCACCATTTCTGCATGGGAGTCTCATTATCTTAGATGAGAGACTAAAATGTGAAAAATTAGAAAAACAATAGGAAAAAACAAATTTGCTTCAAAGTAGTGGCATAATATTAACTTTAAAGCCAGTGTAACAGATTGGTGTAAAGATGAGAACTTATTTTTTTCTCTTGTTTGGTAGATCTTACTAGCTGTGACCATGCTATTAGTATTTTCCAAAGTCTAAAGCCTCCTCACTGTCCAGGTTACTCATTTTCTGCATTTCTGGCAATTTTTCTAACATCATCTTAAATGGTCAAAGAAATGGGTTGGCCTGTGGATTCCCTGCATGTTTTCTTTCATGTGTGTCAAGTCGTTTGTGGTCTCTTAGTGCCATGAGACTGATGAAATATTTTATTTAGTGTTATTTAAATACCCAGACATTTAGTGTGCCATTTTTGTGTGCAGAGGGAAGTTTGTTGCCCTTGAAAACATTAGCTGCAAGATTAAATCTGGATGTGAGGGGCATCCCCCATGGCCTGAGGGAATTTGTACCAAGTGCCAGCCAAGTGCCATCACACTCAATAGACAGGTAAGATCTGCACCAGCTGCTAAGAGAAACTTGCTTTGGGGACAGCAATGGCATTCCTAACTTCTGCAGTTCAATTTGGAAAGGATCAAATTCATTTTGCAAGTTTTTTCTTTTTTGACAATTGCTTGGTAATCGTGTGTTGGTTAACTTACATAAAGCCACCTGTGCAAGATTTCAGTAAGACAATAATAAAGGAGTATGGAATTATAAAGCAAGATTAAGATTAAGACAAACTGTCTGTATTGGAATATAATGCTGATGTTTAATTTTACATAAATGAATTTCCACTCTTGTCTTCTGGTATAATTGTGATTTTTTTAAAGAGAATTTCAGTTCCATTTCAATCAGCTGCAAGTACTCCTATGTAATTTCACACATATAATAAAGCAGTTTGATTTGTTACTTAAGACACAAAATTATAATTATGCCTCACTAATAAACAATAGCTTATTTTCCCCATTTGTGTGCCCTTTTTCCTTCCTCTTTTGTCAATTTTTGTGTCACGGTGACTGGTTAGAAAAGGAAAATCAGGGACAAGCAACAGTTGTGAATCAAATATCTTAGCAAATTATGTTTACAAATATAAGGCTACAACAAGCCATATTTTCAAATTATGGTTTGTGACTGGCTAATAAACTGTGCCTTAATCTTTATAATAAGCCAGATTTCTAAAAAACATATTCTATGGATTATCATAGTATACACCTGCAAGCTGATGGTTAGTGTAAAGTGCAGTAAACAGGACTGTTTCACTGTAGGCTCTATGGTTGTGACTTTTTTCCCTTAACCCAGAGGTGGTTAATTACAGAGGATGAAAGGGCCAGTATGTGAGCTTTAAGGGTTCTGATAGTGTTTCGGGGTGCTGTAAAAAAAATCTTGTGGGTTCATAAGCTGTAGTTTTCCAACCTCTACAATAAACCATGGATAACACTAACCTCATTTCATGCTTTGGGATATCAGAAAACCACTATTAATTGAATGTGAAGACAAAAACTTCTGATTTGCTTTTATTCCCCCCAGCCACAGCAGAGGGGAAGGTGAAGTACACAAGTTTGAGGATATCCTCTCCAGCCCCCCCTCCCTTAGATATTCAGCGAACCTCTCCTTCCCTTCCAACTTACTCTTTATTTTTTTTAATTGTGGTTTGAATGTAATGTGCCTGTCCAAAGTTTTGGTATAGATTGAGATATCATAGTGGCAGTTCCTTCCTTTGACAGCCAGAAAGGGAACTTTTGACAGAAGGAATCTAGACAGTGGAAGAATGAGGGCTGAGGGAAGGAATCCTTTCTTTGATATGAGCCAGTAGTTTGAAAATTCAGGACCTGTTTGTTTTGGTTTATACTCAAGTGTTTGGCAAAGTTCCTTGTCTTTTAGGTCACTAGTTTACTTTTGTCTATTGCAGAAATGGTCTGTTGCAGTAGTAAATGTTGTGACTGGCCACATTCTACTACAGCCAATTCATAAAGGTTCTCATGACATATTCTGAAAATGCAAAATGTCCTCATAAACCCAAAAAGAATGAGGATCTCTGCTGTGCAAAGAGATAAGAACCCATGAAGCACAGCAAAGTTATAAGATAACTAACATCTACACAGCTGCTACATGACATTTTACAATAAGTCAGGAATTGTGCGAACCTTGCAGCATGGCTCACCATTGATTATCTGGACTGTGACTCTTGATTCTACTGTAGCTGATCCTGACAAGCGCATTTGCCTGATACAGTATTATGTTTTCACCCTAATTACAGAAATACAGGCATGTGGATAACATCATGTTTGAGAACCATACCATTGCAGATCGTTTCTTGGACTTCTGGAGAAAAACAGGAAACCAGCATTTTGGATATTTGTATGGGAGGTATACAGAGCACAAAGACATCCCTTTGGCTATCCGTGCTGAAGTTGCTGCCATCTATGAACCTCCCCAGGTAATACATTCTTAGTCCTAAAATATCTTGGTTTGCTTCTTTTATAGAAGAAAGGAAGCAGAATATTCCTTTATACGCTATTTGTGACAATAATAAGTCTGCTCATAGATGAACTGGTGGAAGTTTTCAATTTTAAATATAGTATTGATTCAAGGGCCCAGCATTACATAAGTAACAGAAATAAATGTAAGTGTAATGATTATTATGATGATGGTGGGTATATATTTAATGCTATAGCCATGCATCATCATCATCATCATCATTAGTATTACATCCTGTCAGATGAAATTAGGTTTAATATAATTCAGAAAGGATTTTCCACCACAGAAACAAGTTGCTCCCACTGAAAGATCAGAAGTTAAGTGAATTTCGATAGTTGAGAGAGATATCAATAATTCTTAGAAGAGAGCAGCATTGAAACCTTATTTAGTGTTTCTTCAAGCACCGTGATGTACAAGTGACTTTGTTCTTTTTGCAAAACTTGCAAATGAGAGGTTTATAATAACAATATGTAACAAAATTTGAAAAAAAAAACTGTTCATGGTTTGAAAGTATTGAGGTTTTTTTGTTTTGTTTAATTGTGCAGTACTTACCTTGAAATTAGTTATTACACTCCAGAAACTTTGTTTTTGTGACTGCCACAAACTATGTTAAATTGGTTGAGACTGTCTGAGATATTCATTGAAAAACTATAGCAAAATGTGCTGCAGGATGTTTTGCAAAAACAAAGTTTTTGCAGTTTAATACACTTTTTCCATGTCTTTATGATACAACCAATTAGGAAATGATATATATAACCCAGGAACAAAAATAGTGTTGCATAGTGTAATCTAAGTGGCATTGAAGTTGTTTGTGGGTTGCCTTTTTGTGCACCACGGGGAGCATGGAATCAATTACCTTGTGTATTTTCTGTGTTGTAACATCTGGTGTACTGGCCAGTGTTTTATTCCTATGAATAGGACTCTTCTCAGCATTAAATTGCTGGAATTGGGAATGTAAGTGGGGCATTACTCAGCCTTGAAGACTGAATACTGCATTTTGTGAAACAGCTTTTTACAATTTACTGCCTTAAGTCTCAGTGATAAGATAGTATTGTTATCATCCTGGTTTGTAAATGAAAGATGAAACCTACAAGGAATTGCAGGGACTTTTTTGCCATTCCTCAGAACAGATTTAGTTTCCTCCAACCTTCAAGATCGAAAGACAAAGAATTCTGTTCAAAGAGTTTGCTGTGAACCTAGTCCTTTTCCCACCCCACAAACCCCCTCTTTTTATGGTTGCTTGTTACTCAGTGTCATATAATGATAGATGGAATTTTTCTGTCTCCTTCCCCGGTGTGCCGGCATCTGAGAATCACTCCTTGGCCTGCAAGGAGTATCAGTGCTTATGATGTCAGGAAGCAGTGGGGATTTTTTTTCAATTTCTATGCATTTTCTTCTGTAAATAAGGAGAAAAATCCTTGCCCAAGCAGCTTTCTTTCCACCTCATGTATCTAAACTCAGTGCATTGTAAATATTGTGTGGTAGATAAGGGTGAATGTGTGAAATAGGAAGTTCCTGGTTCAAAAGTTACTGAGCCAGAAACTTCTGAGGCCCAAAGCAAATCATGATGTATAATTATGAGCCTCTGCATCCACCACATAGTGGCAAGAATACCTGCCAGAAATCAAAATATCTCTTCTTTCATTAAGGTTGAATAGGGAGTTAGAAAGTCTTAGGTATCTGTAAATTACATGGACTATGTGTATACTATGTAGAAATGCTAAGCATTGTGTAAAGTGAAGGAAATGTGGGCTGTTTCATCGAATGCAGCTTCATTCCCTCTGTGTGCTAAGAACATTGATGGAGATAGCCAGTCCCAGTTCCCTGACAAGTATAATCCATAAAAATGGACGGAAGGGATGAAAGGAGTCCTGTGGCTCCTTTTACAGTAACCAGTTTATTTCAGCTTAAGCTTTTATGGGCTGCAACCAGCTTCATCAGATCCATGATGTGAAGCCTCATCAGATAAACGTTTATACATACATGGTTCTGGTGAGGATGTAGCAGAAGTACAAAATGTGCTTTTCTCCTACATGGGCCATTCTTGCATACTGTTAACAGATGCCATTAAGATCTGTTAATATGCTAGCACATTTTGTGTTTCTCTTCCATCTCTCTCTCTCACCCACACCCTCTCTCACTTTCTTTCTCCTCACACAAACACAGTATACATAAAAGTTGTTCTACTGAGGCTGCAGTGTATTTCTCGGGAGGAGTAAGCTGCCTTCCATGAAAACTTCAGCTGAAATAAATTCTCCTTAAATGATGCCACAAGACTTCTACTTTTCTTTCTTCTCATCTTTAATGCCAAAACAGCCTAGGGTTGGAAAACTGCATGACACGTTATTTATAATACCTGTTTTATTCAGACTTCACCTTTTTTAAAAACCCATAGTGGACATCTAACCATGTGATGTATAAATACGGTATTTCTAGGATATATTTCATTTGGATTACTATAATATATTCTACTTGGGCTACCTTTGAAAAGTGTTTGGAAACTTCACCTGACCCAAAGAACTGCAGCCCCTTTCTGGCAGTTCCTTTGTTGCAGTAGCTCCATTTGGTTCCAGTGTGTACCAGGTATTTGCTCAGTGAGCTGGTTATGGCCTATAAATCTCTGTATGGCTCAAGTCCAGGCTGTGTGAGCTGGCTTGGTCTCTGAGATCATCAGGAAAGTCCCTTCTCTTAGTTCTCTTAGTTCTATCCCCATCAAAGTACAGTTGGTGGGGTCACAAGAAAGGGCCTTTTTGACTGGGTGTTACACCCTTCCTAAGGAGGCTAGAATGGCCACCTCTTTGACACATCTATACTGACTATTCAGTGTAGTTTACAAAACAGTACTGAAAAAAGTGGCTTCACTGAGGAGATAAATCCTGGAACCAGTTTTGGGCCCAGATGGTGATGAAATAAACCACAGAGCACTGATGCACATTAAGTGCTTTCTTTTTGCTTGCTTTGGTGGGAGTTGGTTGTCTGGCTGCTGCAGTTTGAAGTTAGCTTTGATGGTCAGTGTAGATGGGGCCCTTGTCCTTTGGATAGCAGGATAGATTCAGGTAGGCTTTTAAAACAGAAGCATGCTTGAGTCTCTACATTGTTTCAACTGAACTGGTTTCAAGAGTAGGCCTGGGTAACAACGGAAAAATTTGTTTCTAAAATCGATTCGTTTTTTGGGGATTTTTGCGTTTCGTTATTTAAAATAATTACAAAATTTTCCTTTTAAAAAGTTCGATATTTACGAAATTTCGTAAATGTGAAAAAAATTACAAAACATTAACGAATCGATTTCCGAAACAATAACGAATCGATTCGTTAATGGCGGACGCGACCGCGAAATACGCTAAAAAACCTCCAAAAACTTCTGAAGCTTCCCTCTCCCTCTGTTGTTGACTGTTGGTGTGATATTATAATTTTTTTCACTAATTAAACAAAAAACTTGCCCCAGACATGCGGAAATAATAACGAAACGACCTCAGAACAATAACGAAACGAATACAATAACGAAATACGAAGCATTTACAAAACGTGTTTAAAAATTCGTTTTTTTAAAAAATTGCTCCAGAATGGTTCGTTATCGTTTTGTAATTGAAAAAAATAACGAATTATTAACGAATTACGAATTAACGAAACGAAACCGCCCAGCCCTATTTTTTATTCGAATTAACGAAACGAAACCGCCCAGCCCTATTCAAGAGCTTTTCCTCTTTTAAAAGAGTACTTTTATTCTTTTATTTCTATCTCAATTTTAAAAATTATTTTAATTTTACTATTTACTCTTTATATGTTTTTAAATTCATTGTCCTTTAAAACTGTGAGCCACTTTGGGTGAAAACTGATCTCTCGCTCTCTCGCTCTCTCTCTCTCTCTCTCTCTCTCTAGCATAGCCAATTGTGTGGTTATAGTGAATTTGAATTATTTTAAAATTGTAAAACCAGATGAAGTCACTAGATGGCGGTAGGCAGGCACTGACTCCTATATCTGTGCAATAAAACCAAGAACAGTGACTTGAGATCATTATTAAATAAAGTTAATTCTTACATGAAAATTTTGGTAGACATTTTATATACGTTTATATAATTCATAGATTTATTGTCTCAAGTAGAAAAAGCATATAGATATATTAGCTTGGAATACTAGCCAAACCCCATTACAAGTTAAGCATCTCTTATCTGGAATTCCAAAATCCAAAATACTTCAAAATCTGAAATTTCCACATGGGTGACTGAGGTAATAAAACTTTTTCTTTCTGATGATTTAATATGCAGCAATTTTGTTTCATGCACAAAATTATTTTAAATATTGTATAAAATTTCTTTCAAGGGATATGCATAAGATGTATATGAAACATAAATGAATTATGGGTTTATACTTGGATCACAGCTGCAACATTTCTCATTAAATGTCTATATGCCAATATAGGTGTTCCAAAATGCAAAATACTTTCGGTTCCAACTGGAAGTATTTTGCCATGAGCTGTACTTTTCTTCAGCTCTGTGGGAAACACAGAGGTCCAAGGGGACTGAAAAGGGCTTTGTTCCTACATATTGGGGTTTTGTGGAAAGGACCAACAGCATCTTGTTGCTGCCTCCAAAAAACTGAACATGGAGGAATGTGGAAGACCTCTTCATTCCTTTGAGATGAAGGAATGGTATGCGTTCCCCCCCCCCCCCCCAGGAAGCAGTATTCTCAATGCTTTGTTTTGCTCTTATTTTCTGCAAAAGCCCACTTTGCAACAGGCTGGTGCCATTACTTTTCTTCCTGGGAAATGTAGGAGTAAAGGCAGTTCTCCACAAAGGGATTTTGCTAGAAGCAAATAGATGTTTGCCAGAGGAGGAAAGGGTAGTTACTGATAAGGAGGCAGGTAGATTTATGCACCTCCAGGTTGGACACTTCCTTGTCATTCAGACTGTAATGCGTCAAATTTAAATTAATTGCACTTAGTTAAAGCATAGGCTTTAA